TTTTATATCACAGACTGGAGCATCAGTGGATTTTTGGTATCTGCAGGAGGTCCTGAAACCAGTCCCCCACAGATACTGAGGGATGACTGGACCTTACCTTTATGTAGCTACTCCTTATAAGACAAATAGGGCAGATTTCATTATGATGCAGTTTTCCAGATGAGAAAACAGAAGGGACATCCCCAAGCAGAGCTTGGAATTGAAACCCAGGTCTGATTCCAAAGCTTTAACTTTTCCCTTCCATGCTGGACTGAATCATCTAACTCTGGATACTATACTGCCCCCAACACAGATCAAGGCTCCATAAGGATAACAACTTAAAGACATTTGCAGAGCAATAAAAAACAGTTCTAAACAATAATTTCATAGCACCCACCTACAATTTGGATTAGAAGACTAGTGGTCTCAAAGTTGAACTGTGGGCCCTTGGGGGTTTGCCAAGTCAAAACTGTTTTTATAACAGTAAGATGTTATTTGCTTTTTCCATAGTGTTGGCATTTGCAGAAGAAATGGCGGGTAAACTGCTGGCCTTTAGAACAAATAAAGGCAGCTGCACCAAACTATAGCAGTTGTCATTATATTCTGTTTATTTTTTTTAAAGCCAATTTCACTAAAAAATTTTGTTCTCATAAAGTGATAAAAATGACTGCTTTATGAAATCTTCATACCTGAGTACAAATTTTTTTTTTTTTGAGCTTTTTTATGTTTGCGTTTATTCTTCATTTAACTTTTTTTTTTTTTTTTTTTGAGTTGGAGTCTCGCTCTGTCGCCCAGACTGGAGTGCAGTGTCTGCTCCCGGCCACCGCAGCCTCGACCTGCTGGGCTCCGGCAATCCTTCCACCTCAGCCTTCCAAGTAGCTGGAACTATAGGCGCGCGCTACCACACTCGGCTAATTTTTGTTTTATTGTAGAGATGAGGTCTCACCAAGTTGCCCAGGTGGGTCTCAAGCCCGCGGGCTCTGGGAATCCACTCACCTCAGTCTCCCAAAGGTGCGGGATTACAGGCTGAGCCACCAAGCCCGGCTGAATGTAATATTTTCAAACCACAGTTAACCACAAGTAGGCAAACTACGGATAAGGGTGAACTACGGTATGTGATTATTTGAGTTACAAGTTGAACTAGCCATTTTCTTCAGGAAACAGCATTTTTACTTAAAAAAAATTACTAACAGAAAAACTGGTTATTTGGAGTTGGTATTTGGCAGACATTTTCTCAAAAATGAAGACTGTCACTTCAAGAAAAACTCTGAAAATAGTTATTGGCAATGATAAAATTCAAGCTTTCAAGCAAAAATTAACAGAATCTTGGAAAATGTGTACTCCCTTCTGTGGATCTGACAATTTCCCCATATTTAGCACCTTGTCTGAGGAGAGCAGTAATATTACTAGTAAATATGATTTTTTTGGATATTATAGAACAAAATATACCAATATTAAGGAGATTTGTATAACTCACTAAATCAGTACTTTTCAAATCACTAGTGCCTGATGATGTAAAATCATGTACAGGTAAAAGATCCACTTAAAGTGCAAGACAGACTAGTGGATTTTAGTCAAGCAGAAAACAAAAAAGTTCACTGATAAGATTTCACATTCCATGTTACAACTAACCTTTTAAAGGAAACTATCACTTGTTGAGTTTTAATGAAGTATCAAAGATGAATATCTAAAATTACCTTAAAGGGCTATTAAAATACTTCTTCAGCTGGGCGTGGTAGCTCACACCTGTAATACCAGCACTTTGGGAGGATGAGGTGAGAGGATTGTCTGAGCCCAAGGGTTTGAGACCAGCCTGGGCAACTTGGCGAGACCTCATCTCTATAAAAAATCAAAAAATTACCATACTGGTGGGTGCCTATAGTTCCAGCTATGTGGAAGGCAGAGGTGGAAGATCGCCTGAGAGCCCAGTGGGTCTAGGCTGTGGTGGCCGTAAGCGTGCCACTGCACTTCAGCCTGGGCAACAGAGTGAGACTCCAACTCAGTGTCACTCTTTGCGCTAAAATTTTTTTTGTTTCAGAAATACTTACTTTTCCTAAAAATGTCATTAATGTTAACATGTGATAGGTTTGTTACTTTAAAATAAATACTTTAAAGTTTTCTCAGCTTCAACTTCTAAGATGGTAAACATTAATAGATAAAATTAAAATGAACAAAAGTTATTTGGGATCCTCTTCCCTCCCCCCCAAGAGACAAGGGGTCTTGCTGTCACTGAGGCTGGGGTACAGTGATCATAGCTCAAGTGACCCTCCTGCCTCAGGACCACCTGAGTAGCTAGGATTATAGATGTGTACCACCACACCCTGCAATTTATTTCTGTTTTTAGTAAAAATGAGGTTTTGCTATGTTGCACAGACTAGATAGAGCCTCAGTTTTTAATTGTGTAAAGAAACCAAAACGTTTTGAGAACAAATGTAGAAAACATTAAAAGCAGATCTTAAAAAGCCAAAGTAGGAGAATGCCATCTAGTGGAAAAGACAATTACGACAGCAATCCATTGGCCAATAAAATTAAGGATGTTTCTTACAAAGATGCAGTCCAGTAAAATATCCTATTGCTAGAAACTTCATATGCATGAAGGCAGAACTGTTCAAAGTTATGGGTTTAGAATTTAAAAATTGTACAATATTAATTAAAATAAAACTTAAATGTGCCAGAAAAGTTTTGGATTTAAGGTACAGCCCGCTACCTAGAAAATAGTCTGATGCAAGCTCAGGCAAGAGGAAGCCAGGGCCAGGACTCGGACAAGGGCATCACAGAAGACTCATCTTAGGATCATTTCTGGTCCTTGGAGATGCCATGAGGGCTCTCTACGGTGGGCCTCTGGCAGTCACCAGGGACTGTAGGACATCTAAGCTGGCACGATCTCTTTCTAAAATAACTAAATTGAGTTACTTTGATGGCTGGATTTTGTGTTCTGATTTCTGAGGGCTCCCAAACAGGAACAGAAATTATTCCATGAAAACTTCTCATTCCACAATAAGATCCGAAATTAAATGACTGAATGAAACACAGCAAGTAGAAATGACAGGGCTTTCCAACCTTGAGGTGGGACTGAGGAAGGGGAGGCTGGACACAAAAGAATTCAGGAACTTTGCCCTTTAGGTTCTGTTTTTTTTTTTTTTTTTCTTTAGTATTTTTGCTGCTCCCAGACAGACAGGCGTAAAGTCTGCTTTGTTTTTCATGTGCCCCCGCCCCCAACCCAACCTCACTCACAAGGGCATGTCACTCCCTGAGGACTTGCTGTCTAAATGATGATACTCTAGAAGGGGTGATGGTTAAGTGGATGCATCTTGCTCTCCAGTCATCCTCCCCAAGAGGCCTTCCAGCCTTAAGCAAAGGCAGCAACTGCACACATAAAGGGTCCAAGGCCTACAAATCCTCCTTTCCCTCTACAACTGAAGCCCCAACACCTGATGGCTCCTGTAGGCTTGCTTTACACACAGGTTCTAGCTCCCATATATCCCAACCATTATGATATGAATACTAATACTAATACTATTGACTAATCTTTCTGCAAACCCAAAGAAAGTTGTGACCACCTGTGAATTATGGGGCTACAGGTCTGCCCCATACCCCTCTGCCAGCAATATTTGTATGAGTTATCAGGCTTTGTTTCTTCACTCAGCACAGAAAAGTAGTTTGCATTTACAATTTCTAGAATTCACTTTTTCCCTTCTCCTGCATGTTGATGCTTTCTTGATAAAATGTGTTCTCATTTGCATTGTCCACAACTTTTCATGATTAATTTCATTGGCTGTATATGGTTCTATCTAATCACAGAACCAGTTCAAACATGGAACAGTTCACACTATATTTTCAAATATACTGGGCACATTATAATTGGGCATAATTTTCCTAAATTCCACTAGTCACCTTAAAGGTTACAGTTGGTTTCAAAGCAGTTTTTAATTGCAAAATGAGGTCCCCACTCCCCAGGCATAGAGTGACGGAATTAGTCTTTCTCTTTGGGGAGAAAAAAAAAGTTTGTCTCACAAAGAATGACTCTAATGTATCTAGTGCCCAATGCACAGCATAGCAGCATAATCAATACAAGGGGGTCTAAACATCCATGAAAACAGGATCAGCCAGGCTTGGTGGCTCAGCCTGTAATCCCGCGCCTTTGGGAGGCTGAGGTGAGTGGATTGCCTGAGCCCGCGGGTTGGAGACCCGCCTGGGCAATTTGGTGAGACCTCATCTCTACAATAAGTCAAAAATTAGCTGGGCGTGGTAGCGCGTGCCTGTAGTTCCAGCTACTCGGAAGGCTGAGGCGGAAGGATCGCCGGAGCCCAGCAGGTAGAGGCTGCGGTGACCGGGAGCGGCCACTATACTCCAGTCTGGGCGACACAGTGAGACTCCAACTCAAAAAAAAAAAAAAAAAGAAAACAGGATCATTCATGGAGTGTGATAGGAATTGCTGCTAATTACTCTCACCTGCTCCTGGGATGGAACTATGAGAACAGTCGTTGTTTCAAAAAAAGACCATTCTGCACAGCTTGCCCATGAGTGGAAAGGCACGCTCCTGGGAAAATGAGAATTAGGATCAGCAACCCAAACAACTAGGGAAAGGCCTCACTTTGTTTTGACCCACTCATGGCCTTTTTCACTTCTAGATGACCACAGAGAACCCAGAGCACACAAGGCTGCCTTTATGCCTTCCTGAGGCTAGAAACAATCGTATATCGAACCCATCTGCAGGGGCAGTGACCCCACAAAGCCCCACCTGGGATGCAGAACACAAGTGGGTTTTTGGACTCAAACAGGCCTCTCTCCTTTCTACTCTGAAGATATGACACAATCTGCAAGGCTGGATATCCAATCTGCCCTAGGATTTGTTCATTCCTGGCTGGTCTCCAGGTTCTTAATATAAAGCTGGTTTTCTCCCAGAAAGTGTCCACACAGTATGTTAGTGGGACAGATCTTGACCAGACATATGAACTGAGCCATAATGTTAAAGCACTTTGTTCACATCCAGCCACCCCGCCACAGCCAACACCAAATACCTTTGGGTCATCAGCCTCAGGTTTTTCAGTCTCTGAATCGTCATCTTCCTACAAGACAAAGAATTTAGAGGATTAAGCTTAAAGGAGCAGGCCTAAGGGGCTCACATGCATAACTAGCGGCTGGAGCAAACAGCCCATTTACCCAGCTGGAGTCATCCCACCAGGAATCCCTCCCCTACCATATGACCCAGAACTAGAGAAAGAGGAGGGGAAAAAAGAGACGTTCTGGGGGAAAAGAAACAAAAAACATCAGCTCAAAGTCAACAGTTTTTTAGTAGTGTTACAGTCTCCATCAATGAAAACGCCCAAGTTAAAAATCACACACATAAAAATGGAGAAAGGTTGCAATATGCTTCAGAAGAGAGTAAGACCAGGCCACTGGATAAAACAAGTATAGTGTTTTCACTGAAATAGCAATTATTTAAAACCAGGGTTATGAATCCTTTTCCCCCTTTTGTCTACACATATATATCAGACTTGGTCCTACTGTAACATTGTTCACCACCAAAGTGCCACAACTCACACACAACTATACCTCAGCATCATAACCCAGCAGCATTTGCACTAACATGAGGACAGGAAGGCAGGCACTAAATGACCAGAACAAGTGGTGTGCAAAAAGGCAGGACTAAAGGGTCCCAGTGGGCTCTGTCTCCACCTGAGTGCTCAAAGAACGGTCACTGACCCATTCTACGCAGCCTTCTTCCTTATCCAAATGAGGTCTGCTTGACACAAAGTATCACACATGGTAAGGCATTCTCCACAAAGCAAGTCCACCATTCCACTAAGCACTAATGCAAATACTATGATGGTCAAGGATCGAGAGCAGATGTTAAACCAGCTACTTCAGAAACGAAATCCATGACACTTTCACTACCCAGAACACTCCCAATGTACATAAGACTTTAACACCCAGGGAAAAATAATTTCACCTGAAACTGCTATTTTCAACAAAACTAAACTTTAACCCAAATATTACAAAGCACTCCAGATATTAATATAAACACCACCTAAGAGACTTGAACAAACTATAGGAATGGTCTTGAGACCTAACTCTCTTGCAAGGTGCCAGTGACTTTAAATGCAATCATAGACTTTAATGCAATCTCCATAATCACCTTAAAATGAAATCTATCATGCCAAATAATTAGAGATGGAGCTCAGTCAAATATAATCACATTTCAGAATATCTACATTGGGATTTGATGAGAGGATTTTACCAAAATATGAAATAAAGCTTAAACATAAAAAAAATTTTAAGCAAAACAAATATGGAACACTTCAAAAACACATTATGTAAATGTACCAAAGAAAAGAGTTATGGACATTAAGCCAGTGGGTATGAACTTGAGAAAAGTCAGGAAAACAAAACAACTTGTTAAAACTCTATTTCAATTTCAGTTAATTCTAAATCAACTAATTTCTAAATCAATTTCAGTTAATTCTGAATTATCAGCATTAATGAATGGGGCTAGAGACATGAAAATCTCTCCCAAAAGAGCATAAAATAGTCTGTTTAATGTGGAAAAAATTCTAATGCTAGCAAGTTACACATCATATGTAACAAATTTTGAAAAAATAACAAAGTACACTGTGTTTCAATTAAAATTGTTGCTAGGTAGCCAGATTCAATATCTAGATTCATCTTTGTATGTCATGTGCTAAGCACCCGACTAAATTTCCTTGTTTCCTCTACAAACTTTTAAATTCTGGCTCATGTTGCTTGCATGATTGTGTTCCTAAAGTCTCTCCTGTTAATAGAGATGCAAGTTCTCCTTTCTTTGTTAGCTACCACCTACTAAACTTCTGGAAAGATTTGTGATCAAGAACCAAACACTCCTTGATAGAAAGTGCCAAGGAAAATGCCAAGAAAAAAGTTAAGAAGGATCAAAGCAGATAAAAATGAAAATTTTCCTTGCTTAACTTGATGAAAAATTGAAATATTTGAGTGAGCACCAATCAAGATAAAAAACAATACAGACTTGATTGCAGCTATAAATGATACCCCAATTGGAATGAATGACTGCTACAAATGGAATTAATTATTCAATCAGGGAAAAATCAACATAAAATACCCATTGATATCTGGGTTACATAAGTCTACTATCTTTCCCCCCAAATTTCAACTCAGAGATTAGTACAAAATGATCCCAATTTCTTCAACTAATACCAAACAAAAGAAGGGAAGAGGAATGAAATTAGCGATGAAATGGAACACTGTTGGCAAGGTTCAGAAAGTTTCTGACAGATGAAATGATGCTTTGAGCAGCTCTGGATTTGGAAGATTTACCTACCGACTGTTTGCTGTTCTCATCCTCTTCTTCTTCATAACCATCTTCATCACCCCCTAGGCGTGAAAAGTCGTCCTCTCCATAAGCATCAGATACTAATCCACCTTTCTCCTCTGAAACAGGTAGGGGGAAAAAAAGAAAGAAAAAAAAAGAAGAGAAAAAATAATGGGGGAAGGGGAATGGAAGAAAATGTTCCCGTGACTTGAGTGCCCAGGACTATCTCTGAAGATAAAAGGGGAACCTAAGTTCCTCACGTAAGTGACCATATGCTCAGACACTGCCCTGGAAAGGACACAATTTAGTGGAAGAAATTATTAAAAGAACAGGGAAGAAAACCAAGTGCTAAATTTTGCCTCTAAGTTTTCAGCACATCTATTATGCCAGTTGAATCTTCCCCTTCTCTGAACTATTGCTTAAACATCTCTTAACATGCACATCTCTGCCTTGTATCACAAGGACCTCTGAACTTGTCTTCCTCATTTAAGTACCTTTTTTCCAGGCAAGGCTCAGTAGCTCAGCCTGTAATCTCAGCACTTTGGAAGGCCGAGGAGAGTGGATTGCCCAAGCCTGCAGGTTCGAGATCAGCCTGGGCAACTTGGAGAGATCTTGTCTCAACAATAAATCAAGAATAGCCAGTCATGGTAACGTTCACCTGTAGTTCTGGCTACTTGGAAGGCTAAACTGGAAGGATCGCCGCAGCCCAGCAGGTCGACACTGGGGTGGCTGTGAGCATGACACTGCACTCCAGCCTGGGCCACAGAGACTACAATTCAAAAAAAAAAAAAGTACCTTCTCCCCTAGGAACAGGATCTTTAACACGGGGACGCCAAGGTTCCCAATCACACCTACTAGAGAAACAAAATCTTTTTCTACATTTAAACAAGATAAGCAATAAATAAATAAATTAAAACATCGTATAGTACTAGGAAACCACAGAGAACCTTCTGACTGTAAAAGACCACACAAGCCCACAGATGTGACAGTACCTAACCTAATCCAATCCCCTTCACTTTCCAGTCGAGGATACCAAGATCCGTACATATTACATAACGTCTTCTATTCTTCCAAGGAATCTATTCCCATTCTCTAACATTGTGATTCTCAACCTGAGGGCAAAAAATCACCACAGGCTTTAAAAACTCACAAAATAACAGAATCACCCAGGACTTTTGAAACATTCACAAACGTCCAGATCCTGTCCTAGATCCACCGAATTCGATCCTCTCACTTTGGAGATCGTTATTTTGAAAGCTCCGTACAGGGCACAGTCCCAACTCAAAAATATAAATTTAATAAAACGCAACCTTTATCACTCTCCACGTATGTTTTACTACATCGCCCATCTCTCTGCGAACCCAGAGGAAGGTTCAGCTCCCTTCTTTCTTCATCTATCCCTCTGCTCACCACGATACCCGGCAAGGAAAAGACTTTCAGTAGGTTTCCGCAGAATAAACGAACCAACGTGAAGGAGACAGTTCATCCTTATTACACTCTCTAATGCACTATCCTACCCAAGACCCGGACAGCCCTCCCGGGCCTGGTACATAGGACACAATGATCATCTCTTTTCCTCCTGCCCCTCCGGGGGAAGCATTCCAGGAAGACACCATTTCCCCTTCCAGCTTCCCTCGGGCCTCACCAGCCGCGCTGCCCACCGCTTCGACTCCAGCCTCTCCGTCAGACTCGGGCTCTGAATCTTCCGCGTAAACTGCCAGAGACGACAGAACATTCCTCTTCCCCGCCATCTTATTCCCACGGTACTGGCGTGTCTCGCTTCTATGACTCAAAGACACCGACTTCCGTGCGGAGAGGCAGCATTTTCCGGATCCCAGGAGACCCCGCGCCAACCTGGACCAATCAAAACGATAGTTTCTTCGCCTGGCCCCGCCCCTCAGGAGGGCGCTCGTTACGACATCACTGCGCGACGGACATAGGTTGTGTAGGTTTTACTTAACGCTGAGTTCCCGGCGGTTTGGCTTCTCGGAGTTAGGGAGAGTGTGTGAGGGTCTTCGAATAGTTCCGGAGTCAGCGAGCAGCAGCAGCCCAGTAAGAGCATTTCATTCCCGGACAGCCCACATCCGGCTCTGATATCTTGGAGTGAAGAGAAGGAGTCATTGGCTAGCCAAGGGAGAAAATTTCGGATCTGGGACTCAGAGGAAGAAGAGAGAAGGGGTCGGGGTCACGGGTTGGCGGGGGGGACGGGGGAAAGAATGGTCGTCATGACTGCACTTACAGAAGAGGGAGCAGAAGGTGGATCTTAGAAAAACGATTCTATATTCTCCAAACTATTCCGAAGACATTTGTGTTTCTTCTTGTGATCTGATATCTAGCTCTGTGCTGTACCGTGACATGGGATAAGTTCATTGTTTTTATTTTCACTGAGCGTAAAAGTGAAGATTTTAAACTACCCAAAAAGGTATTGCTTGAGGCAGATCACCTGCAGCTTTAGTACTTGACTTAAATGTAATGTAGCAATTGCTTACTCAGAGAAAAATAAGCTGTATTTTAAAAGCAGAACAGAGGTTTCTCCAGGCAACCTTTCGTCCCTTTCCCTTAACCTTTGGGCACTGTTTTTTGCTAAGATGAGCACCCACCCTTCATCCTATCCTTTTGACCCTGAGCGGCGAGTCCGGACTACATTGAAGAAAGTCTTTGGGTTTGACTCTTTTAAGACGCCTTTGCAAGAGAGTGCGACTTTGGCAGTAGTAAAAGGTAACATCACCAAGCTATCTCTCTTTAAATTTGTTCTGGCCATAACATTGCAGCAGAACACCCTCTTCCCCTACTTCCCACCCTTGGTCCATAACTAGTTTTGGAAACCTTTTGGACTTGTCACCCAAAGCTTGCAATGTTAATGGCAGAATCATCCAGCTGTTCTGGTTCATATATTTCATAGGCAGAGGTATACATTATCTTTGAAAACAGTTCATAGATTCCCATTATTGTCTGTCTGTGTGCAGGCAGTAGTGCGGAGGCAAGAATAACCTAACCTAATCACTGACCTAGGTAATTCCCATGTTGAAGATTGAGTGGCCTCATAAGAAGGAAGAAGTAATGTTAAGGAGGGAGTTACAGTGCAATACTGATACATTTACAAATGAAAGCCCTCTAAGTGATGTCCTTTCAGATCTACACAGATGTGCTCACTCATCTAGTAGCACTCTGCTTTTGTGGCTGTTTATATCAGTCACTCATATCTCACAGACTTAGACTTCTTACCCTGTTTTAAATTACTGTGACCAGAAATGGTTTGTGCATATTTCCCAATCTCCCAGGATCCCTGCCTTTTTCATGGAAAAGACAGGAAGGGAATTAGTGTTATATTGAGACCCTCCCATGTGGCAGACACTCTCATTTAATTTTCCAACCTTCTCATTTAATTTTCAACAACCTGGATGAAAAGGCAGAAAGCATTGAAATGTTATCTTCTTGTATTTTTGCAGGTAACAAAGATGTCTTTGTGTGCATGCCCACAGGGGCAGGAAAATCCCTATGCTATCAGCTTCCCGCCTTGTTGGCCAAAGGCATCACCATTATAGTCTCTCCTCTCATTGCTCTGATTCAGGTGAGGCTTAGGGATATGAAGATGGTAGCCCAAAAAGATTAGGGGAAGATTTTCTTTTAGCTGGAAACTTTACTTCTCTTCTATTTGGTCTTTTGGCTCTTATTTTCTCTGATTTGCCAATCTCACTTTCTATATTTGGTTTCCGAATTGTTCAAATGTAGGGTTCTCTGCTAGTGCATATCACTCTGGTGAATTATGAAGGAGTCTTCTGTATTTTGATGGTCTGAGGTTCCTCACCCTCCTTTGTTATTTTTTGTCCAGAGGAGTATGGAACTATATTTGTACACACATGCATATTCACTCTTACATATGCACGTGTGTACGCATGATCTAGAGATAGAAGATGCAAAGTGGTAGATACCTAAATTGATGCGGGGAATCCCTGGTGTCTTGCTTTATTTTGGTGAGGGCACAATGTGTGAGACCAAAAAAAAAAAAAAAAGCTATGGGAAGTTGTTTGGGGCCTTGTTAACATCTGCTCTGCAGATGTTCTGACTCTATTTAAGGCCTGCAGTTTGGCTGATAGAATCAGAATTGAGGAAGCATGCCTGTGTGGTTAAGAGCCATCCACCATGAAGAAAAGTTGAGAGACAGGGACAGTAATAATTGGTGAATTTTCACTAGGTCCCCGGCTTTGTGCTAAGTGGTTTATATGTATTAATTTTACATTTAAGGTGTAAAATTTTATTTAACTTATACAACAACCCTATTAGTTACTATTTTTATAGGAAGGAGAGGAGGGAGAGAGAAAAAAACATAGTTTCAGAGGTTAAGAAACAGCCAGAGAGCATCTGGCAATTAAGTGAGCCAGGATTGAATACAGGTCTGTCTGACTCCAAAGCTTGTCCTCTCAACCACTTTACCTTGTGTGCAAGTTGAGCATCCTTAATCAAAATAATCCGAAATCCAAAATGTTCCAGCATCCTAAATTTTTGAGTGCCAACTTGATGCCACAAGTGGAAAATACCATACCTGACCTCTGGCCTTAGGTGATGGGTCACAGCTAAATGCAATCAAAACTATTTTCATGCACAAAATTATTTTAAAATATTGTATAGGCTGGGTGCGGTGGCTCACGCCTATGGGAGGCCGAGGTAAGAGGATTGCCTTAGCCCACTGGTTTGAGACCAGCCTGGGCAACTTGGCGGGACCTCATCTCTACAATAAATTAAAAAATCAGCCAGGCGTGGTGGTGCGTGCCTGTAGTTCCAGCTACTTGGAAGGCTGAGATGGAAGGATCACCTGAGCCTAGCAGGTCCAAGGCTGCGGTGGTCAGAAATGTGCCACTACACTCCAGCATGGGTGACAGAGTGAGACTCTAACTCAAAATAAATAAATAAATAAATATTGCATAAAATTATCTTCAGACCATGTGTATGAGGTGTAGATGAAACAATAATTTAGACTTGGCTCCTATCCCCAAGATATCTCATTATATATGTGCAAATATCCCAAACTCTACAAGTACAGTCTCCGAAATCCAAAACACTTCCCAAGCATTTTGTATAAGAGATACTCATCCTGTACTTCTGTACTAAGAGAAGACATATTGGAGGACATTTTATGACTAGGAAATCCCTCAGAGAGTTGCAATGATGTTTACCTGAGTCCTGAGTCCCTTCTCTGGTCTCATCCCTTCCTTCCCTCAGGACCAAGTAGACCACTTGCTGGCCCTGAAGGTACGAGTAAGTTCCCTGAACTCGAAGCTCTCAGTACAGGAAAGGAAGGAGCTGCTCTCTGATCTGACTCAAGAAAAGCCCCAGACCAAGCTTCTGTATATCACCCCGGAGATGGCAGCTTCAGCCTCCTTCCAGCCCACCCTGAACTCCCTGGTGTCCCGCCACCTACTCTCTTACTTGATAGTGGACGAAGCTCATTGTGTTTCTCAGTGGGGGCATGACTTTCGTCCTGACTACTTGCGCTTGGGTGCCCTGCGCGCCCGTCTGGTACATGTCCCATGTGTGGCTCTGACTGCCACAGCCACCCCACAGGTCCAAGAGGATGTGTTTGCTGCTCTACACCTGAAGCAACCAGTTGCCACCTTCAAGACTCCCTGCTTCCGGGCCAACCTCTTCTATGACGTGCAATTCAAGGAACTGATTTCTGATCCCTATGGGAACCTGAAGGACTTCTGCCTTAAGGCTCTTGGACAGAAGACTGATAAAGGGGTGAGGCACTGAGGCGGGGGCCAAGCAGCAGTGGGATACTACCTGCAACATAGTAGTGGAGATTGGTCTTTCTAAGACCTTTGCTTTATTTTGTAGTCAGCTTTTTTTTTTTTTAGAAAGCTGGATTTATTGAGAGGACAGAAAACTTCCCAGAGTGGGAGGGGACCTGAGGGAGTTGTTTCAGTCAGGCTCCTTAAAACTCATGCAAAGAGAGTTGTTCCTTAGATTTCCTGTCATTGTCCCCCTTCCTGGGGTTCCCTTGTCCTGGAACCTTCCGTGGAAGGCAAGGAGTCAGCTCCGCTGTGTGAGACCTTTGCAGACCTACACAAGGTTTGCAGGGAGGAGGCAGAGAAGTTAAACAGGTTGGATTTTGAGTGGCTTTGACCTTGCTTTTTATAAAGTAGCAGAGCCCTGCTGGGTGTCCTGCCTCAGAGGAGACTGAAGCTGATGAGGAAAAGAGTAGAGGTTCTTTTAAAGCAGGTCACATTACAGTGGGCCGATTGTTCTGTTCTTCCCATGCTCATTTTCTTCCTGTGTCTCCCTATTCAGTTGTCTGGCTGCGGCATTGTCTACTGCAGGACTAGAGAGGCTTGTGAACAGCTGGCCATAGAGCTCAGTTACAGGGGTGTGAATGCCAAGGCTTACCATGCAGGTAAGGGGCACCCAGGTCATGTGGGTCTTTTCACTCCCAGAGGCCAGTTGGTGGGTCCCTTGTTCTTTATAGATCCTGTTTCTCAGGTGGTCCATTGTCTTTTTTGTAGATACGCACGAAAGCTAAAGTGATTCAATTGAATCCTCTAAACTGAGTCTTGACATGAATGAGGTCTAAAATGAGAATTATGACTCTTGATTTCTTTTTCTCACTCTCTGCCTATATAGCAGTGTATGATGTTTTTATAAGCCCAGGTGGGTATTATAGAATGAGCATAGGCTTTGGAGGTCAATGGACTTGGGTTTGAATCATGGCCCTAACATGTGTTGAATGTTCTGTGCCACATATGGATCAGGGTCTTTATGTCTGTCAGCTGAGCTGTCAGCTGAGGGTTGGTGAGGTAAAGTGTCTGGCCCAGGATCATACAGCTGGGCAGTGATGGATTCAGGGTATGTGTAAAGTGCCCAGAATAGTATCAAACCCAAAATAGATGCCGGTTGTGGTGGCTCATACCTGTAATCCCAGTACTTTGGAAGGCCAAAGTGGGAGGATCACTTGATCCCAGGAGTTTGAGACCAGCTTGGGTAACATGATGAGACCTTGTCTCTACAAAAAATAAAATTAGCTGGATGTGGTGGCATGTTCCTGTAGTCCTAGCTACTTGGGAGGCTGAGGTGGAAGGATTGCCCAAGCCCAGGAGTTTGAAGCTGCGGTGTGCCATGATCATGCCATTGCACTCAAGCCTGGATGACAGAGTGAGACTCCAGCTCATAAAAAACCAAATATAGCCCAAGGTAAATTCCAGGGAAATGCAAGTTCCCTTAACCATATGCCTCTCCTTTCCAGGACTGAAGGCTTCTGAAAGAACACTGGTACAAAACGAGTGGATGGAGGAGAAAGTCCCTGTGATTGTTGCAACCATTAGCTTTGGGATGGGAGTGGATAAAGCCAACGTCAGGTGAGTTTTGGTTCTTGCCGTACCTTCTTGGTCTGGGCCTGGCTCGATGTGGGCTGCCTAGATCTCTGCCCAAAGGACTAGGTCTGTGTGCTGCTTCGAGGGCCAGATGGGAAGGAGGCTTCAGGGAAGGTCTTTAGTACACAGCCCAAATGCTGACAGTTCTGTTTTTTTTTTTAATGCTGACAGTTCTCGTGCGGCCTGTTCCCACATGACTGCACAGCATGGTTCTGTTGTCCTTCAGGAAAGGGGGCGGCATGCAATGCAATTCATCAGGCTCTTCCCATTCACTCACATCTTGGTAGATTCTGCGTAGGGGACTGGAATGAAGTAACTATAGTCATATGCCACATATTGATGTTTTGGTCAATAGTGAACCATGTGTATACAATAGTGATCCCATAAGAGTTATAATGGCAACCGGGCTTGGTGGTTCAGCTTGTAATCCCAGCGCTTTGGGAGGCTGAGGTGAGTGGATTACCTGAGCCTGCAGGTTTGAGACCCGCGTGGGCAACTTGGCGAGACCTCATCTCTACAATAAATCAAAAATTAGCCAGGCGTGGTAGCGGATGCCTGTAGTTCCAGCTACTTAGAAGGCTGAGGCAGAAGGATCGCTGGAGCCCAGCAGGTCGAGGCTGCGGTGGTCAGGAGCGTGCCACTGCACTCCAGTCTGGGTGACAGAGTGAGACTCCAACACACACACATACACAAAATATTATAATGGAAGCCAGGCGTGGTGGCCCATGCCTGTAATCCCGGCACTTTGGCAGACTGAGGCAAAAGGATTGCCTGAGCCCAGGGGTTTGATACTAGCCGGGGTACCTAGGTGAGACCTTGTCTCTACAATAAATCAAAAAATTATCTGGGTGTGGTAGCACATACCTGTAGTTCCAGCTACTTGGAAGGCTGAGACGGAAGGATCATCTTGAGTCCAGCAGGTTGAGGCTGTGGTGGCCGTGAGCATGAAACTGCACTCCAGACTGGGCAACAGTCTTAAAAAACAAAACGATTATAACGGAGCTGAAAAATTCCTATCACCTTGTGATTTGTGCTATAGTTGCCTGTAGTATTCAGTACAGTAACACGTGCAGATTTGTAGCTTGGGCACAATAGGCTATATACCATGTAGCCTAGGTGTGTAACAGGCTCTACAGTCCAGGTTTGTGTAAGTACTATTTACCCTGATGTTCACACAATGATGAAATTGCCTCACAATGCTATTTCAGAATGTGTCCCCTTAGTTAAGCAATGCATGACTGTATTTTAAGCTGCTCCCTATGGGAAGTCAAAGGCAAAGTTCTTATTGCCCATCATTTCTTGTTCCTGCTTACTGACAGTCTAGAAGTGTTGGGGTGCATCCCAGCCCCCATCCCCACAATGGCAACTATTGGGAAGTCTTTTACCTCCAGCCATGACTTTCAGGAGGCATATTGAGCTATAGCCTGAAGTCCTTTGCTCTGATGAACAATAAGCAATGATGGTTTGTATGATTTATGGAGCACTTTTTTATATTGGTCTCATTGAGCCTCACAGTGACCCTGAATTAGTAAAGGAGAAACTAGTCAGTACACTACATTTAAAAGAACACAGACTTTCGGAATCAGTTTGAACCCTGGGTCTGCAGTGTCTTGTTAGGAGTCAGCTTTGAAGGCAGACACCCCTAAGCTCAAATCCTAGCTCTACTGTCCTCTGTGTGACTTTGTACAAATTTACCTCTGAATCTCAAGTTTATCTTTTTTTTTGAGTTGAAGTCTCACTCGGTCACCCAGACTGGAGTGCAGTGGCCGCTCCCG